TTTCCTTAATCTTTAAAAGAAATCTTTATTTTTCATTAATAGTATTGTTTATAATTTCACAATAATCATGATGTTAATAATGATAATAATAACTGTATTAATATCACAAAAGAAAATTAGATATAGTCGCATTGAGCCTGCTAATTATCTCCTTGTTAGTGGAGACCTTGTGAAGTAACCTATATGCAAAGTTCATAAAACAATACTACAGTGGACAGGACATGTCCCTAGCACTAATTGATTAATGCTGTTGGCCATAATGCTGGACTTTCTTTACATAAAAGACTCAAAGATTAAATATCATTATGAGTATTATAATTCCAGCCCATTCACAGACATAAGCTCCTCTTCCTACTACAAGAGGCTGGTGTGTATAGGTGTAGGTAGGTAGTTACATGTGTGTGAGAGAGAGAGATATCAACATCCTCTCTAATATCACTCTCCACTTCCTTTGAGCCTAGAACAATATTTCTAATATGCTCCTAATATTTTTACACAAACAGCCTAGTTAACAGAATAAAGACCACTGTAAAGGTTCACAGATAGAACTCAATATTTCCAAATCAAAGAAACTTTATGTATAGTGTCAGCATAAAAGATCATACACTAACAATAACAAAATGATAATGGGTGTCACTCCCCTAATACCAACTAGTACCCATAAACATCTACCTCACATTCTCATCACAAAATATGTGGGTTTGTAAGAATTAATATATGTATTTGGTAAATGAAAATATTGTGGATATCAGTTTTCTAAGAAAATGCCTAAGCTTCTATCATGTTATAAATCTCATTAAATTGCCATTTGGCAAAACTGTAACTTTGTGATGATATCTAATCTTGTTCCAAAACATTTGAAAAGTATTTCCATCATTAAATGTGAATTCTCTACATTACTTTGCAATGGGCCATCTTCCAATCATAATTTTGAGAAAAGTCCAAAGGAAATTAAGCATTTTGTCTGACATGTTAGTCTGTTCTACTGCCACTGCATGTGGAATTCTATGACACCAAATTATGCCTACTTACTTACCAAAATCCTCGAAGATTTCTCTATTAATTTTGCATTGTAAATTGCATACATGAAGGGAATTTTATACACATCATTTCCAAAGCAAATATTAAACTATTGTTACTTTGTGTATGGCCATATGAACCCATATGACATAAAAACCTAAAATTATTGATTTCATGAATCTATTCCAACAACATAATATACATTAAAGGCATTCTGTGACATTTTTGAACCATTTGCCACTATCATGTTTAGGTTCACTTCGGGCTTTATTTAGGTTTTATGTAATTAAGAGAATATATTTTAAAAAATAATAATAAAATAAAATAAAATAAAGATAAAATAAGAAATATTAAGATGAAATAAATTAAGATAAAATAAAATAAAATAAAATAAAATAAATATAATAAAATAAAAGGAAAAGAAAAAAAGAACTTAAACAGAAACACACTTTATTTAGGTTTTATGTACTTAAGAGAATAAAATGAAATAAAATAAAATAAATAAATAAAATAAATAAAATAAAATAAAATAAAATTAGAATATTAACCAAATTGATTCAGATGATGTGACGATCACATTATGAAAAAATTAGGATGAGGGCCAGGTGACATGAATAGCCTGTGTCATCATGAAATCATTTGGCTGAGGGCTACAGTGATGTGAATATACCTTTATGAGAATTTCCGCTGAGGACCAGGATGACAGGAATGCCTCATCACAAGTGGAGGTTGGGGCTCTTGCATTATTTCCATTGGTAAACAGGGGTGGAATGTTCCATCCATGATTGACTGATTATTGAAAATCATCTGCCACATCAACTGCATTGGCAGTTAATACATTGTGGGATTAAAATATTATAATATTTACAATGTTTAAAAAATCTGTCAATGCCTCTCATGAATAAAAATAAGTAGCGGAAGCCATGACTGGCTGCATAAGGTGAGTCAAAGAAAAACAATAAATGTCTCTCATAAATAAAAATAAATAACAGAAGCCATGACTGGCAGCATAAGGTGTGTCACAGAAAATCAAACACAAAAATATTTCTAAAATGACACAAATAACATAATTTCATTTATTGTTATTGTTACTGCACAGAGTTATAGACTACCTAGAGGGACATTATAGAGTCTGCTCAAGGAAAACTGTCTATTACCAACACTTATGCAAAAACAGGCCACTGCAAAGAGGGGGCAAAGAATATTGATACTATATGTGTTCCTGTAATTTGGGGTCACAAATCACACACAAGTGAGAGTCACCGCGCAAGTAAGTCTAATGCCAGGATTTTTTGCCACAAGCATGATGCACCCAGATCCAACAGGTTAAAAACAAAACAATGTGGTAGTAATCACAAATGACATTCTGTGTTCGTCATTTATTAAGATGCTATTTAACAAAATGCCACAATTACAGCTAAATAAAAATAAACCTCAGTAATATCACAGAAAATCATACCCATATAACTGAATTTGGATT